CTCCACAGCCTCGGAGGAAGGCAGAGGTTGCCGTTTCAGTGAAGTCCTCTCCACTCAAGTGTCCAGAAGCAGGGAAAGGCTGGCACTCTTCTCACTCTGGGTCACCTTCTTCCTTGTACAGATAAGAGTGCTGCAGGGCGAGCAAGCCAGAGCTTTGCTTATCTTCAGGAGGCAGTCCAGTGAGATCAACGAGTTTGCCCAACATGGTCAGCTTCGGAGTTTGCTCAGGAGAGAGGCTTCCGACAAAACGTCTCTGCAAAGGTACGGCCGTGCCCACTGATGTTGCCTATGTGGGCTGCAGAAGAACTGCGGGGGCGTGGGGCCAGAGGGCTACAACCACAGGTGTGAGGGCCATCTGGTGGATTCTGGCGAGGCCAATATCAGCCAGCTTAGCTGTCCCATTACTTGTCACCAGAATGTTCTCTGGCTTCAGGTCTCCGTGAGCATGAAGAAAATCTAGGCTGCTTAGAAGCTGACGCATTAGCTCCTTGAAGGTCTCCACTGGCAAGCCTGGCGGGGGTGCTCTGTCCAGCTATGTCCTTAGGTCCTAGTCAACAGGCTCAAACACTGGGGTGATCTCGATGCCTCGATCAGTTGGGGAAGTATGGCAGACATCCATTAGCAGTACAACTACCACAACTTGGGGATGCTCAGAGGCCTTCAGCCTCCGAGGTTATGCCGGATCACTGACCGGGAAGCCCCACCATTAAGAAGCCTCCATTAGGCACTCTTGAGGGCCACAGAGGGGCCACTGTGGGGATCTCGGGCCTTGAACACCATCCCAGAGGCACCAACATCAATTTCAGAAACTGGCTCCTATTGAGAGGTAGCCCTTCTCCCAGGAGGGGATCTACTTAGGCCCAGCCTGCCCAGAGCTATGGAGGTGGCCTTTTATTGGGGGTCCTGGGAGCTGGTTCCTGAGGCGCCGTACACTGGGGACAGGTCTGGGGCAGCTGGACGCTACAGGCCAGATCATAGAAACAAGCTCTTTTGATTTTCACTTTTATTCACTCTACATCCACGTTGTCGCCCCATCCCTCCTCCCCTCCCAGTCCTCCCCTACTTTTATTTTTTTAAACAAGCCCTCTGGATGTTCCGCTGGCCTTGAAGTGGCTGGTTTTTCCCACCTATGCGTGGGGTTACAGGCGCGCATCAGAACATGCAGTGAGAACTTGAATTTTCAGCATTAGTGTGGTTGACGTCTTTTCTGTTTGTTCTAAAATGTGTTAGACTGTCTTCAAAGGGCAAGGGGGCTACTTTCCATTTCATGCAGCTATAACCCAAATGGAGGGAGCAAAATTACTACTGCTGTTAATACTATGGGATTTTTCTCTTTTCTGTTTTTGGGGGGACGGGGCGATACGTGTGGGTGTGTGTGCACAGGGTATAAGTGAGTGTATACATCGGGTGGAGGGGATTTGGGGTAAATGTGTCTGTTTGTATATAATGGAGTGTGTGTATGCACATAGGGTGTAGGGGTGTGGGGGTATATTTTCATGTTTGTATATATATAGAGTGTGTGTGTGTGTGTGTGTGTGTGTGTGTGTGTGTGTGCGCATGCGTGTGGTCCATCTGCATGTTTGGGTCTTATATTGAAACTGCAGCTCAATGATTGGTCAGTGTGGCTGTCCAAAAAGCCCCCAAGGGATCTTCCTATTTATGCTTTCCCAGAACTGGGATTGTAGTTACAAGCCACTGCAGCTAGCTGGGTTTAGTTGTTGTTGTTTGTTTTGTTTTGTTTTCTCATAAGATCATCAGGTTCGGACAAAAGAGCACTTCATCCGTTGTTCCTTACTTGTCTCTTGATTGCAATAAAATACCCTAAGGAAGCAATTGAAGAAAGGAAGGTTTATTCTGCCTCACAGCTGGGGTGCAACGCATTGTAGCAGCGGCACACGTCACACCCACAGCCAAGAAGCAGAAAGAAATGAATGCTAGTACTGTTGTTCTCTCTCTAGGTCTCTGTGTGTGCGTGTCTCTCTCTCTTCCCCTCTCCCTCTCCCCCTTTTCCTCTCTCTTCTATCCCTCACTCACTCCTTCTCCCCCCCCCCTTTTTTTTTATTGGCTACGACTACAGCTCTGGGTTTGTGCAGCCGAGAGTTAGGACGAGTCTTGCCACCTCGATCAACCAAATCTAGATAATCCCTCTCAGGCATACCCGGAGGCTTGTCTCCTAGGTGACCTTAGATCTTGTCAAGCTGACAACATTAACCATGGCATGTACTGAGTCATCTTCCCAGCCCAGATTCTGATCTTTTCCACCATAACCGGAGGCTGTGTTCTCAGTCCCACACAGCGCTGCTCTATCTCTTATCTTGGAAACTATAAAAAGAAATTGTAGGTGTGTTTGTTCTTCGGGATTTTAACGTCTGGTTTGACTCAAATAGACTGTGTGCTGGTTATCTATGATCTCAGGGCATACTATCTCCAAACCTGCAGCTAAAAACAGCAAACGTTTGCCAGCCTCACGATTCTCCCAGGAAGTCGAAGTGAAGCTCTTACCAGGCTCTCAAGACTCTAATGACGCTGAAGCAGCCACATCCCAGCTTGTCTGTGAGCCCCAGTGGGCAAAACACGCACACATACAAAATAAAATGTTTTAAATTAAAATAAATTTTGTAACGGTTACCAGAGGCCTAATTTTGGAGATCTGAACAGACCAGATTCTACCAGATGTGTCTTCCAGAGTCCAAAGAGAGACAGACAGACAGACAGACAGACAGAGAAGGAGGAGGAGAAGCGAAACAGGAAAAGAAGTTATTTTCTCTGTGTCCAGCTTGGAAAGACAATGGATCCAGACTCATCCTAAAACAAAACAAAGCAACAACAAAACAACCAACATTCTGGGTATTAACAATAGCTCCAAGATTATAAACAGAAGGAAGACAAAAACAGGGTGGGAGGAGGCAGGGGTATGCCTGTGACCTCAGTCAGAGTGGTTTGGTGGAACCTGGTCTCAGAGTTGGTTCTGTGGGTCCCGCTGGCATCAGAGAGCCATAGAAACTGTGATTGCTCGGCTGGTTACTTTTGGTTCCCAGCAGGTGATTGGCAGCAGTGTGCACTGTTCCTGGAATTTGGATTAAGCTGGTGTGGTGGTCTGAATAGGAATGCCCCTCTCCCCCATAGGCTCCTAGATTGGAACGCTTGGTCACCAGGGAGTGACACTATGTGAAAGGATTAGAAGGTCTAGCCTGGTTGGAAGAACCAGGGAATGTCACTGGGGGCTTTGAGGTTTCAGAAGCCCTGCCAGACCCAGTCTGCCTGTGTGCTGCCATGCTTCCGGCCATGATGACATCGGACTAACCCACTGAAGCTGAAGCCCCAGTTAAAGGTTTTCCTTTATAAGAGTCACCATGGTCTGCCATGGTCAGTGTGGCGCTCGCCTTTAACCCCTGAACTCGGAAGGCAGGGGCAGGTGGATATATGTGAGTTGGAGGCCAGCCTGGTCTACAGAGTAAGTGCCAGGACAATGAGGGCTACACACAGTAAAACCCTGTCCCGAAAGCAAGCAAACAAACAAACAAGGAGATCTAAGGACAGTTTCTTTTCTTTTAAATAATTTATTCACTTTATATCCTGATTGTAGCCCCCTCCCTCATCTCCTCCCAGTACCACAGTTTCAAAGGATCCCCCGTCAATTCCATCATTCCTGCTACTTGCTTTTAGTTGTAGGCAATGCTGGGACACAAGAGTGAAGACATGCCTCCATGAGCTAGCAATGTCAAGAGGCGTGGACTATGGGTTGCCATGTAGAAGGTTCAACATCATATCTAGTCCTGTTGGCATCATTTACTACAAGATTCTTTTGTGTGCAGGCATGTGTTTGCACGAATGTATGCATGTACTTTAACATGTATGTGTGTGTAGCCAGAAGTTGACATTGGTGTCTTTCTTAGTCGCTTTCCATGTAAATTTTAATTTTTTATTACATTTTATTTAGTGTGTGTGTGTCTGTGTGTTTGTCTGCCTGTGTGTGTTCATGTGTTGTGTGTATATGACACCGCCACTGCACACATATGGAGGTCAGATGAAAACTTTTGGGAATCATTTCTCTCCTTCCTCCATGTGGCTCAAACTCAGGTCATTGATCTTAAGCAAGCACTTCACCCAGTGAGCTGTCTTGCAAGCCACAGTGTTTTCTATTATAATATAAACTGGCATTTCCCTATGGTAAAATAAGACTTATTCTTACCTTGTATTTTCTAGACAGGAGTCAACATTCTTTTCACAGAGGCTTTTGATATTTGGAATGTTTAAGAATACTTTAGAAAAAAAAAGAGAAAAAAAGGAATACTTTAGGATATAAGAAACTGGTTTATTACCTAGAAGCTGTGCTTTCTCTCTTACTAATGTCAAATAAGAACTGCCATGTAAGGTGTTAGAAAGAAGCAAATTCTCTTTAAGGCATAGCCATGAGATTCAGGAAAAAGGTAGACTGAACAGTCAGATGCAAAGAATGCCCAATGCTTGTGGTAACATCTTTACCATTGCTTCCGAAGGGTCTCACTATGAGTTCCAGAAAACCCTGAAGTTCACTGTGTAGCCCAGACTGGCCTCATATTTATGATCCTCTTGCCTCTGTCCCAAACACTAGGATTATACATGCACCATAACACCTGGCTCAGCATAGTTTTATTTTAAAAATCTGTGGCATGGCAATGTATATATTTCCTTGTCTAAGATTGGATGGCAATGCTAGATTCCCCCATATGTTTT